GGGGGGTTACCATATGTATATATATATATATCTTAAACACCCCCGACATTTGGCGATTACGGTTCATTAGGAATCTTAAACACGCCACATATTATTTGGCGATTCCGGGTCATCATCTATCTTAAACCCGGTTCATGATGTGTCCTAGACACGCCCCCTCATTTCGCGATTCCGGTTCATCATACATCTTCAACACGAACCCCTCATTTGGCAATTCCGGTTCATCATATCTTGAAAACACGCTCCCTCATGTGGGGATTGCAACTCAAAACGAAGCCCCGGCCCCTTGAGGCGAAGAGGTTGGCTTAAAAAACGGTTGGTAATGAACCAGAATCACCGTATGAGGGGGCCTGTGTAACTTATATGATGTATTTTTTTTTTTTTTTGGGGGGGGCTGCGATTTTTTAAGATTTTCTGTGTTATATATATATATGTATGTATGTATGTATGTATGTATGTATGTATGTATGTATGTATGTATGTGTATATATATATATAATATGTATGTGTATATATATATATATATTATGTGATATATATATATATATATATTATGTGTATATATATATATATACGTATTATATTGAACCGGAATCGCTAAATGAGGGGGGTGTTTGAGGTTATTCCTTTCTTTGCTTCTTCCATCCATCCTTCTTCTTTCTGTCTTTCGTTCTTCCTTTCTATCTTCCTCCCTTCCAGACTTTCTTTCTGACGTCCCTCTCTCTCGTTCGTCCCTGAAATCCAACAACAGCCCGAAACACAAAAACAAAAGAACCAAAACAACAAAAAAAATACGGTACCCCTAACCTCGTACCTGGACGTCATCAGCACCGCCCCCAATAACACGAGAACCACTCCACGACGCCACAACCAGTTGGAACTGCAAGCGAGGTACAAGGATATCACACGGTCTCCACATTGGTATGAGACGTCGCGTTCGCATTCACCCTCAGCAAGCGGACTCTCGCAAGGCATAGGCCCGGGATGTACACCACATAGGCTTGCCTCGTCCACAGATACGAAGCTTGTCCCATGATGCACCCAGAGGTAGGTGGCCAGGACTTCATTTCCTCTCAATGGGTAATCCTGCATCACATGTTCGGATACAGACACGACACTTTGAATATGACATGCCCTTGCATCCTGCTCGCTGAGCAAAATGCAAAAATCCCACTCCATTGCATGGTGTAGAAGCTGGCGAATACCTACAGTCAGGTACCCGCTTAAGATGCACAGGGGCACATTAGCCCGCACCTTCCATCTGCGCATGGAGCATGTTCGCACCACCGCGAACGATGTTGTACCTTGAACCCCTATAGAGGTACAGAACATCGACATGCACACTTGGTCACAATTGGCTTCTGTTTGCTTTCCACCCAAGATGCTTGGAGTAAACCTGAACGGCGTAGCCCAATGCCTCCACTTGTGTCCAGTGTACAAGCTCCTCGAGCATCCCCGGGTTCTTTTCATCAACATGCACCTGGGCAGCTTCGCTCAGGGGCGCTTTTCAACGTGTGCAAGTCCACGTTGAATGAAGCTTTGCACGGCAAAGACGGTCTCGAGGGGTTGCAACAGTCTGGAGATAAGCCGCTTCACATTCCTCCGTGTGTGATTCATGGGTGCAAGTTGACAAGGATTGAAACAACTACCGCTGCAATGAAAAAAAATTAACTGCGCAAAGGCGCTGAGGGAACTGATGTGCCAGGATGACCTCAGCCCGCCCAGGTTTAGGCACAGCACACAATAACGACCTCTCCCTAGCGACATTCCTTCCTGACGGGCCTCCCTTTGGTGCTAGGAAACTGCTTAGTATGTTGGGCTCAGCTTGCAACAACCAAACGAATAACAACATAAAGGCATCCCTAACTTCCCGACATGTCTGCTAACTGCTCCCTGCCATTGTCCAAGTTGCATATGCGATTCTCGCCGGACTGTAAGAACGAAAAATCAGCTGCGAATCCTGCCCGAGAAACTACCAAGTTCCCATACCCGTCTTGACCCTGCAACTCTAGGTGATCGGTGTATATAGTTGGCTTCTAGCAGACTCTATCGTGGCATGCTGCGTGCAAACTATTGTGCAGCTCTGATCTAAACACTGATTCAGATGCAAGGCAGAGAGCCGCTTTCGAAAGCTGAAATGCCGATGCACGCGCCTCGACGCCTTGCAGGCACTCGGTCTTCAAGAGCTCCGTGTATCCTTGGATGTCACAAGGAACGACTGTCTGGAGGTCTCGACACCGGGCCAAGGACGGATATGCAGACAGACAGACAGACAGACAGACAGACAGACAGACAGACGCAGGAAAGATTAATACGATGAACAACTGTAATTCAAACGAGCAGCGAACGGGCAGGAAAACAAGCAGTCAGTCCAACAAACAGAGAGACAAATCTCAAGCGAGAAAGAGATAAAAGGACGGACAGCAAAGCACGTTGAAAAGATTCTGCCAGCGAAGATCCCCAAACCGTGAATACCTGCAGCATGCCACTAGGACCAGGAAATGGCCAGTGGTTTGCTAGGCTTGGGAAATGTAGGTCCCAAGCAGAGCACAGTCACCACCCTCCACCACCCTCCGGGCAGGTTCCTCGCTCCGCCTGAATACAGGTCGCGACGAGCTGCCATTTGTATGCTTCTCGCATGTCGCCTGTACTCCAGTTGTATTCAACAAAACCAGGTTTTTTTTAGCACTCACTCTCGACAAAACCAGCTTACAGGCCCCAGAGCTCAGACTGCGGGAAGCGCTCTGCGTACTTTATGCTTGAACACACCAGTTCACGACCACGACGACAACGAGCAGGAGACCACCAGGAAGTGATCACCACGAGACCAGCTGGAGACCACCATGACACCAGGAGAATTTAGGAGACACAAGGAGACCAGCAGGACAGCAGCAGGAGACCTTTTGGACACTGCCAATATTGCCAGACCCCCAAGTACTGGCACATCGTCCATCACCCCCGAATGCCTGCCCCCTAGTTCTGGCGGTCTTACTGCTGACCTATAATTCCAACCCATAGCTGGCGACATCCAGAGGAACTCATAGCTTTCCGCATTGCTGCGATTCAGTGTTCTCGAGAACAAAAAGCACTCCGCGCGTTAGGCGAATCCTCGACGAACAATAGGACATGAGCGAAAACACTGCGAAAACCATGCACCGCAGCAGCAGTGGGAGACGCGCGCTGCGAGCATCCTGTGACAATAGGACGCAGGGACCCGATTCACTGAACGCAAGAATCACCACTCTTTGTCGGGAACTAAGTTTGCACCAACACACACACAGAAACAGAGCAAGCCCTCACCCCATGCTGTGATCACAACATTAACCTGAGGCAGGACTCGCTTCGATGCAACATCCCGCACACGTTGGCAGTAGAAGCGCTGCACATCCTGCAAAAAGGGCACTGGGGCAAAGGAGCGGTCACCTGGCATCACCAAATCAGGGCTCGAACATACCATCAAGATCGATGGCGCTTACAGTGCTCAAGTTTGAGCAGCTACTCGTCGCTCGAGCCACCGCAACGAGCGGAATTGTCGGATAGAGAACCGAGATTTGAAAGAGGTGCTAGCCGTGCTCTTGCTGGAGTTTGTTCTTCTGCGCGTCCATCTTTGACGAGAGAGCCACGGAACGCACAGCTTCAGGCAATACACGACTGTGGCCTTTCTACTTATTGTTTTATCCCTGGCAAAAGTCGAAATTTCTCCTCGTGACAGCTGCTGGAAATAGCTCGGAGGTTGATGTCGCTCGCCGCTGCAACCAAACATCGCTTGAAGGAAGCTGGCTTTCCTCCGGCACGAACGAAACTTCACTGATTGGTCCAAGATTCAAGCACTCACCAAAGCACCAGCTGAGTCCTGAAGATATCGCATCGCTCAGCAATGTCGCAGTCACAGGCACAACCCACATTGACATCCCTGTGCACAGACGTCGGCGCAACATTCCGAAGAACACACGCTCGGTGCGAAGGTGCTAGAGTGGGGTCTGCCCTGCATTGAGCCGCCAGTCTTCGGTAAAGAATGCAGAGAGTCTCAGGTGCAGCTCTAGGACGCTGGGATCTGAAACAAGAGCTACCAGTAGGTAGCTCCGTGCGGGATAGGTCACTGGGACACTTGCGAACCCAAGCGCCTTTTGCTTCAGAGTGATGAGAAGCTGTATAAGGCGGGGGTTGCCTCCACATGCGAGTCACTGAGAAAGAAGTCAGTGTTTCAGGCGCATGGAAATTGGCTGCAGCATGCCGCTCTAGCACATGAACATCCGTGTTCATGACGAGGAAGTACTGCACGGGGTCATTCCGGTTCATTGGATGCCGCTGACACTCCCCGAGCGGTGAACAGCAAGCATCAAGGCCCACGTGCGCTTGCCCACGGCGGTGGTGGCAGCGATGGTGCAACACTAATAGTAGGAATAATAGTAGTAGTAGTAGTAGCAGTAGTAGCAGTGGTAGTAGTAGTAGTAGTAGTAAGAAAAAGAAGAAGAGTAAGAGCAAGAGCAAGAGTAAGAAGAGTAAGAGCAAGAGCAAGAGTAAGAGCAGTAGGAGTAGGAGCAGTGGAAGTAGAAACGGCAGCAGCAAAAGTAATAGCAGCAGCAGCAGCAGCAGCAGCAAGAGTAGGAGTAGGAGTAGGTAGCAGCAGCAGTGGTGGTGGTAGTAGTAGTAGCAGCAGTAGTATAGTAAGTCAGGAGAAACAATAGTCATGGTCATAAGAATATAATATAGTAGTAGCCGTTGCCCACCTGTCTTGAAGTCGCGCGACATACACTAGCTGCACTAGCTACGCCCAAAGCAACCCTGCCAAATGCAACCCTTATCTGATTCCGGCCCTCGAAACCCTCGAAGGGCGATTTTGGGTTGACGCCTTCAAGTTCAATCCGCTCAAAGCGCCTCAAACTCAAACCCCAGCAGAGGCATTGTAATTATGACGTCGGGCTCGTCCATGCGGTCTTCTAATCCCGCCAGTAGTGCTGCTGATCACGCTTCCTCCGCCCGCCCCCCTGATTAGACGATGCAATGGCGGTATCATCACATTTCCTAAGCCCGTCCCCAGGCCAGATGGGCGCTAGCGGAGCGGGCAATCGCGTTTCTTGAACTCCCCCCCCCAATTAGGCGATGGCGATTGATCACATCTTAAGCTCGCCCCTCATTCAAAAAGAAGCTGAGGGAGGGGCGGGGGGGCAATACCAGAAGGATCCTTTCCAAGCCGGTCAATCGAGCATCGTGCTTGCAACTGGGAGATACTGGGAGGAGTGAAGGGGCTACCCCGCATTGCAGCACCCCGTTACGGCCTGAGGTTCTTCCTTTGCAAGGTTAATACAGCGGGGCAGCCCTGCCCACTTGCAGACACGATGTGCTCGGCAAGGAATAACAAAATGGGAAACCGCAAAGGCAGCAAAAAGCCAAAGCGGTAAGCAAGGCAAGGGGCACACAGCAGTAACAAACTGAACGCACAAAACACATTAAGCAAAAGACTAATTGCATAAGTTCCAGTTTAAAAACACATCGGCTCGAGACGAAGAGCAGAAAGCAAACTACACTACGAGGGAAACCACACACAACACAACAAACAACACGTTAAAGACATATAGATATCCTTTCAGCACCCTTCCTCATTTGCATGAGCATCAAAAACATGCGAGTCTCTTCGAAGCTTGCCTTTCAGCCGGACAACATCTGCAGCGCTTAGGTCCTGTGCCAACAGGAAAACTGCAGACACATGTTTGCCATCCTAACCTGCAAGCGGAACGCATGAAACTTATATCCGTCATGGGAGCATGACTGGCCTCGGCTCCCTCGTCTAGGTCCATGCAAAGAGAGACGTTGTTCAGCATCAATAATGCCTCAAGCCATGAACAAGCATGCAACTATTGCATTTCTGGAACTCCGATGTATCCATTCAAGCCTTCGCCATGCTCAGCTCCTCTGTGAGCTTCCGATCGACCTGCTCTAGACGCAGATAGACAAGTTCAAAGGCACAAGAACTTCTTGGCCTCTTCCATGCAAGATGCAGGCGTTGAGTTGGCCTTAGTTTACCAACTTTGAAACCGAAAAGCGCATCAAAAGCACATTCATAGTCAAGGTATCGCGGCTCTCGCCTGAACATTACTGAGCCTTGTCGTTCTGCTCGGTGTTACGCAGGCTTCCTAGCCAGTCGTGGGCGGCTCGTGCTGCTACAAGCCACTCTGGTACGAAGTCAACCTCAAGATGAGGCCCCAAAACATCAGCATGATCCTGGCAGCTCGTTTTCCAAGACTTGCAAGTCTCTGTTCGAAGATGTTGCTGTCACGGGTCCTTCAGATCACAGCTGAAATGCGGCCTCTCCGTCGCAGTTGCATTCTCGCTTTGCCTGCCTTCAGTGCTCATAACTGCAACCATGTAGGATTTGACGGCATGAAACCTGAGGCTCGAGCAAGCGCGGAGCTCGTTTAAAGCTCGCCTCCAAGACCGCTAGGTCGATAGGCATCAATGATCCCAAAGACAGTGCAGCCATGCCAGAAAGTGAAACATCTCAAGTTTACTAGGCGCACTTCAGTCTCGCTTGAAGCGCTGCAATCAACTGGTCACTGCCTCGCACGGCTGCTTCTCAGTCAGGATTCTTGCTTGGCCCTGCCACTGCCTGCCTGCAAGATGAGCGCCATCCTGGCCGCAAGGACTCTCCGGTGGACTTAATTATAAGACTTCCAGAGGACTGCCATCTGTGTCGACATCGCCGAGCGTTGTAAGTTTCTGCATCCTTCGGCTCCATTGAAGCTTGATTGCTCAATGTTCTCCTCTCCCTAAAAGTTAACATGTCAGGCATCCCTCATTTGGCTGCACTCTCCGGTCAGCTACCTGCCTGCGGCACTTGCGAGGAATCGGAGCTGAGGTGCTCAGCCATCTGCTCACGTTAGGAGTGGACTGTGCTCTAAAACTCAGATATCAACCAGTCAAAGTCTCAGGCATGAAGCCACAACCTCTTCTTTGCACATGCTTCGTTCTGGCATCAAACGTCGCGTTTGTCAACAATAGTGCTAAGTGTGACTCGGCCAGTCGCCAGCACAATTCGCATAGTTCAAAACAAGTGCTGCTTGCTCGTTCTGAGCCCTGCGAAAGTCCCTGAAGCACAGATCCTGATTGGACATTTTGTGTTTGTTCAGTCCAGCTCCGTGGCTGCATCTCTCGAAAATGTTGTTTTGTCAGCTGCTGAGCCGCGAACCACTGCATTCAGCCACTCATCTCTCGCATGATCACTTGCACCATCCCCTTTCGGTCAGCAAATCTTTGCTCCTTCTGTGGCTGCACAGTATCCACGCTTGTGTCGGGCCGCCACGAGGAGTCATCCAACCCTGCCGCTGAAGCAAAATCGCGGGAAGCTGTGCCGTCGCCGGCCATTAGAGTCACATGGAACATAGCAAAAGCAATCACGGCATGCTGTGGCCTTCCCAATCTCCAGCTTGAGCTAGGTGCGTCGAGTATTGCAGGCGCTGCCAGGGAGCACAGCACTTGTGAAAGGGCTCAGTCACGCATGTCATGTCCACCTAACGTTACCAGATCCTAACCAGGCAAAGGCCATGAGCGGTGAAATCTGTTCTTTAGTGTTTCAGAGGTGGTTTTGGTGTGTTCTTGGAAAGCCTTCTGAATGCTTCGCACATACGACAATGTGCTCCTGCTCTGGCTGCAGCCGCTGAGACAGGATCGCTTGCCGGGCAAGCGTTGCGAGAGAGAGAGAGAGAGAGCCTCGTCTTCCGTGCTGGGGGTGGTTGCCAGGAATGCTTTCTGGAATTCTTTCGGAACGCTTCTTGCACAGCCTCCGCGTTCTGAAGTTCTTAAAGTGTTCCCCAAAGCGTTCTGGGATCGCTCCCCTCCACTTCCCCGGGCCTGAGGAGCAGTCAGTCATGGGCCACCCGCGCACACGTTAAACATCCCCTGGAGTCATAAGCCAAAATATCACCAGTATGGAATGCATTCGGAATACAATCGGGAAATACTCTTAGAACTCTCTACTTCGAACACTGCTAATTAAAGCAGATCGACCCCAACTTTCCCTGATCTGGAATCTTGTAAAAGTAACGGTAACTTACTCGTGGCACTGGCTCGAGTCGGCAGTCTGAGAAAGGGGCTTTCCTTGGCTTGGCTTGGCCTGGCCTGGCTAGGCTTGGTTCGGTCGGGCGTGTGGCTGTTGCGGGTAATGTTTCGTCGTTGTCTTTGTTGTTGGTGTTGCTGTTTCTGCTGCTGTTGTTGTTGCTATTGCTGTTGGTGTTGTTGATGTTGTTGTTGCTGTTGCTTTTGCTGTTACTGTTGTCGTTGCTGTTGGTGTTGTTGGTGTTGTTGGTGTTGTTGTTGCTGTTGTTGCTGTTGCTTTTGTTGTTGTTGTTGTTGTTGTTGTTGTTGTTGTTGTTGTTGCTGTCGCTGTTGTTGTTGTTGTTGTTGTTGTTGTTGTTGTTGTTGCTGCTGCTGCTGCTGCTGCTGCTGCTG